GTTATAAATGGTTTTTAAAAGGGTTTATAAGGTTTTTAAAAGGGGTTTATAAGTTATTTTACGCTATTATGAAAGATATATAAAAATTTAAACATATACAAAGGTAATTTATGTGTATATTTATAAGTTTTCACACATTTTTGGATAAATTTCAACATTTAAAGTGGTTTTTTAAAATAAAGTTTGAAACATGGGTATTTTTAAAAAGTGGTATGGAAAAAGGATATTTTTGATAATTAAAAAGTAAAACAATTGGTATTTATATAAAAAAGTGTAATCTTATATATTTAGACACAAATTATCTTTCTATGTGTGTAAATTTAAATACCATATAAATACCTTTTAAAAACCTTTTTAAAATTATTTTAAAAACATATTGAAAAAAAAAACTTTGTAAACCTTATTAAAACCTTATAAAAGTCTTATAAATGCCATTTAGAACCTTTTTAAAAATTTATTAATATTTTTATTGAGTCTCCCAATAGTAATGATGATCTAGATGTACTTTATAAACTATATAAAAGTTTACAATTTTTCATATTTGAAAAAGAATATTTTTAAAATGGATAGAAAATTGGTGTACTTTTAAAAAAGGGTACACCAAAAGGGGTATTTCTCAAAAATTCTCTTTTAACTATTAACCTAATTTTTGGTTTTGCCAGTTGTAGGTTTTACAATTATAAGGGTTATATGTTGAGTTTATAAATCTGCATTATAGTTTATATTTTATAATTAAACGAGATTATTTATCGGTTTGGATTTATTAAAGAGGAGTGAGATTTAGGTTTTACAATTAAACAATGTTATTTATCAGTTTTGGGTTCATAAAGGAGAATTAGGATTTACAGTTTACAAATAAATTATATTTTGAGTTTAACTAAATATAAAATTTTATTGAGAAATTGATACCAATAACCTTTTTATGATACCCTCTTTTAAAAATACCCTCTTTTTGCCATTTTCATTTTTGCCCTCTCTTAAATTTTACTTGAAAGAATATACTTTTTTACAAAGGAAGGAATATTCATTGAAGGAATATTCATTCCAAAACATTTCTCGCCAAAATTTCCTGCAAAATTTTTTTTAAAGGGTTGCAAGGATTTTTAAATGATCTTTTAAAGGGTTTACAAGGGTTTTTAAAGATATTTACAAGAGTTTTTAAATGGTTTTTAAAAGATTTGTAATGATTTTTAAAGTGTTTTAGAAGCTTACAAAGGTTTTTGAATGGTTTTTTAAATGATTTACAATTGGTTTTAAAAGTTTTTATAAGTTTATAACAGTTTTAAAAGGATTTACAAGGATTTATAAAAAAGATTTACAAGTGTTTTTAAAAGGATTTACAAGTGTTTTTAAAGGCATACAAGGATTTTAAAAAGAGTTTAAAAGGATTTACAAGGGTTTTAAAACATATTTAAAAATATTTAAAAATAGATTTTAAAGGACTTACAAGGGGGTTTAAAGGTTTTAGAAGTTTACAAAGGATTTTAAAGGGTTTACAAAAGTTTTTAAAGGTATTACAAGTTCTTTAAAATGGTTTTAAAGGATTTACAAGGGGTTTTAAAGGGTTTTAGAAGTTTACAAAAGTTTTTATTAAATGATTTATCACGGTTATAAGGGGTTTAAAGGGGTTTACAAGTGTTTATAAATGTTATAAAATGATTTACAATGGTTTTAAAAGGTTTACTCAATTTTTGAAAGGTTTTGGATGACTTTTAAAAGATTTACAAGGATTTTTAAATGATTTAAGGGATTTAAAAATATTTGCAAGGTTTTTGAAGGAATCGCGGAAAAGTTTTGGCGGTAAAATGTTTTTGGCGGGAAAGTTTTCAGAAGGAATATTCTTTTTGTTGGGAAAAATATTCATTTCTTCATCATAGGTTATAATAAAGGAGGGTAATTTAATCATTTTATACATTAAAGATGGTATTTTTGAAAATAGAAACCTAGAGAGGGGTTTTGTAGAAAAGGGTATCATAAAAGGGTTAGTTGTGCAAATCCCCCAAGTTTATTCAAGATTTTTATTTTATAATATGTTATTATTTTTTAACTTTTAATTTATGTATGAATGTATTATGCCATTGAGCAATTTCACTGTCTAAAACATAAGGGTGAATAAAATATTTTTGAAAATAATATTTTTACCTTAAATTAAAGATAACAAAGTTCAATATAAATAGTAATATAGTAATTTTAAAATATTTTTAAAGAAAATATGTAGTTTTTAATAATTCGTATTTGAAATTTTTTTTAATGTTTTCCTCAACGGTGCTATAATTTATTTTAGAATCTTTATGTTTATTTGCGTTGTTTATATGAATTTATTTACAAATGACTATATTTGTATTTAATATCATATTTTAGATAGATGTTAATTTGAAAGAACTTTACTATCATATTAAATAATAATTAATTAATTTTCACAGTCTGAGAATGATTTTTTTAAAAATTGAAAGTTAAGAAATAAATTTATTTACAAAATGGTATAATCATATTTTAGAGGATAATTGCTAAATTTAGATTTTTTAAAATATTTTAGCAATATTATGAGTAATGGTGAATAGCTCCCAAATAGCTCTCAAATGTTTTGGTGATTGTCAATTTGACATTACTAGATTTTAATAATTAATGTTTAATAAGAATTTTAAGAGATATATATACGTTTATTTGATACTTCAAACCGAATAAAATCTCTTTCGAAATAAAAATAATTCTCTTATTTTTTCAAAAAAAAATTTGAAAATTAATTTTTTATAAGTTCTAATGAATTTTAATTTTAATTTAATTTTAAATAAAGATAACCCGTACATCGGACGGGTACTAAACTAGTATATATATAAAGTAAACTTTTATCTTTTCTCCTTAAGCCACCTCATCAAAAAAAAATATTTTTTAGTTAAATTAGAATTCTTAACAAATAAAAATAAAAATTTGCCACCTCATTTAAAAGTTATCGCCATATCAATTAAATATTAAATCAGATGTAGGAGTAAAATTAGAATTATATTTTTATTTTGAGACCATCAGTATGAAAATAACAAAAATTTATTTTTTTGGGGAATTAAATCAGAAATGTTAATTAGTATATGTATTTTTCTTAAAAAAAAAAAAAAGAGTTCATGTTTAAACGTCTAAAAAAAACAAGTATCTTCCGGATTTTAACTCAATTAAAAAAGGTTTTCTTTTCGAAAACGAATAAAATATTGGTCTTCTTACCGGTTTACCTTGCAAATCAATTTTACCAAAATTTGGTTTACAATCTCACATACCCAAATCTCCGCCATGGCTGAGAGCTTCTGAGAGAGATGAGCTAAAACAGCCATGGCTACTACTTCACCCAACAAACTCTCACTCTTCCCACTACTCTCCCTTCTCTGTTTCATCACCATTTTCTTCCTCCTCTCTCTATCCCGACGCGCTTCTCTCTCCTCTCCCAACACTCACCGCTCCGCCTCCGTCTTCACCCCAAAATCCCACAGTTCCCGCACTGTTATCTCCGCCGCTTGCGACTTCTCCGATGGCTCATGGATCTACGATCGAAACTTCAGATCCGCTAGGTACGATAGTAGTTGTAAAGAGATCTTCAAAGGATGGAACTGTGTTCGTAACAACAAAACAAATGGCCTTGAGATCTCTAAGTGGCGATGGAAACCTAAGGATTGTGATCTTCCTTTGTTTGATCCACTCGAGTTTCTTGAATCTCATCGAAATACAAACATTGGTACGCTTTGTTCTGGAATCTGGCCTTTTTGTTTTTTGGAATTTGAGGAATCAGAAGCTATAGAACTTGTTAGCTTTTACACTGTGATGAGTCCTGTATCTGAATTGTATAGGTTTGAGTTTAAGATTTTGATTTTTGAACAGTGCAGGATTTGTGGGTGATTCTTTGAATAGGAACATGTTTGTATCACTGTTCTGTATGTTAAAGAGTGTGACTGGTGAAGTGAAGAAGTGGCGACCAGCGGGTGCTGATCGTGGATTCACGTTTTCGCGATATAATCTTACCATTGCGTATCATCGAACAAATCTCTTGGCACGTTATGGTAGGTAAGCTAAGTTCTCTTTGGTGTTCTTATATCTTTGTTTGAGAAAATGAATTATATGACTGTTTACTCTGTTCTACTTCCTCAACAAAGATTCGTATGTTGCATAGTATAATTCTAAGGATTCATGTTTTTGTCGCTTCTCCGGCTTTTATATCTTGCGTCTTGTTTTAGCATTGCATGCTTATATGTGCCTTTCTTAACTCTGTGGTACGCACAGTGTAGGAATACCATGGTTTTGTATGGTTTTCTAAACTGATTAGACATATTGTTCTCTTGCTGACGGTTCAGGTGGTCAGCTAATGCTAATGGTAATGAGTTAGAATCACTTGGATTTAAAGAGGGGTATAGAATTGATGTTGATATTCCAGACAGCTCATGGGAAAAGGCTTCAAGCTTCCATGACATTCTCATTTTTAACACTGGGCACTGGTAAAATACTCTTTTATATTTCTTGTCTGATGTAACTATTTTGAACTGGTTAAATGATTTTTGATCTGATTTAGCCCACCATTTGATCGATGCCATATACCCATAGTCACTAAGGTTGTCTACTTCTGGTTCATATTTTCTGTATTTAGATATTAACTATTAAGGTTCAAATATTTTAGAGGAAATTCTCAAGTTTAAGCTACTATCTGTTCCAGTTGATCCACTGCTCTCTAAGTTTATACATACATATATGACTCTGTCTCGATTTACGAAAAGGAACTCCTTCAACTTGCAGTATTTCTTTCTCCAGATACTGTGTTGATCACTGCATTCAATTTAACTGTCTTGTTATATCAGTTAAATGATACCTTGGTTTGTCATGTTCAGTTAAAATTTTTTTTTGTTATGTCAACTTGTGGTGTTGATTAACTTTTGTTGTCTCTCTCTGTGTAAGGTGGTGGGCGCCATCAAAATTTGATCCATTAAAGTCTCCTATGCTTTTCTTTGAAGGCGGCCGGCCAATACTTCCACCTATAAATCCTGCTACTGGCCTGGATAGGGTTCTAAATAATATGGTATGCTGTTCTGGACTTCTGTGTCTTCCTCTGTTATTGCAAGGCAACATGAGATACTGCCGTTGAAAACCCTACTAGATTATACGTTTACAAAAATGAACGTGTGTTATGACATTTGTGGGCTAGTACTGTATGAATTTACAGCGTTTTGTGTTAAAGAATCAGTCTTTGAGCCAGCACCAATCTGTGCGATATGATAAAACTAGTGGTACTGAAATATTGCGATCCTCATGCGACGTTCTGCCATTGTAATAGGTAAATTTTGTGGAGAAAACAAAGCGACCTGGAGCAATCATATTCTTCCGGACACAATCACCTCGGCACTTTGAAGGAGGTGACTGGGACCAAGGTGGTACTTGTCAACGACTGCAACCTTTGTTACCTACAAAAGTAAGTCAGTTTCTTTCAATAGGAGTCACACATGGAAAGCTACATGAAATCACTCGTTTGGTTCGGCTAGATAATAGGTAGAGGAGCTTTAGTACAGTAAAGTGTCACGAGACGCTTCTAATCTTATTGTAATTGTAGGTTGGAGAATTGTTCTCGGTGGCGAACAACGGGACAAATGTAGAGGTTCGTCTGGTGAATCAACACCTTTATAACTCCCTTAAGAGTAGAAGCGGCTTCCACGTTTTGGACATAACTCGAATGAGCGAGTACAGAGCCGATGCTCATCCGGCAGCAGCTGGTGGAAAGAATCACGATGATTGTATGCATTGGTGCCTCCCGGGCATCACCGATACTTGGAATGATTTATTCGTCGCAACTCTCCATACAATCAAAGCTTAGTAACCTGAAGTAATCATACCAAGTCTTTTATAATGGATGGGCAAAATAACATGTTTCGATTAGTTGGGTCTAGCGTCATTGTCATACTCTTGTAAATTTTGGATGTTGTCTTCTGCATATTTTTTAATTTAGTTATTTTTTCCTCAACGACTTTTTATTTTTGTTTAGATTTTTTCTTCTGATAAATTGAATCATCTCACTGGTTATATAAACTATGAAAAATGTTATAGAATTTAGGATGTTTCTTCATGATGTATATAAAATTTAGGAAAAATGAATAAAAATTACTCTACCGAATTAAGAAAAATGTTATAGAAAAGGGGAAAAAATTTAAATCATAATTTGTTATAAAAATAACATTATGGAATTCATTCAGTATATATATATTTGTAAATGTTAAAGTTCTGAAAACAATTACGAAAAAAAATTACAATTCGTTCAAAAAAAAATAATATATATATATATAATGATTTGTTTAATCATATTTCTACAATGATGGTCAGATCACAAACAAACAAAATATAAAATTATTCTCCTCCGTTTCTAATAGATTGATGTTTTGGAATTTTTTTTTGTTTCAAAAAGATTGATGTTGTACATTAAAAAATTAAATGATTACTTTACTTTTTACTTTTCTCCACATGGCATGTTGTTAATGGTTTATATTTTCTCTTTCTACCTACAAACAATTATAAATTAATTAATAAATAAAAACTTTAATTTTTCTTAATAAGTGTGAAAATCTTAAAACATCAAACTTTTAGAAACAGAGGGAGTACTTAACTATAATTGACTATAAAATGCTTTATCAGTTCTCACTCCCCAACCTAGTGGTTTGCTATGCTTAAATTTTTAGTTTTATTGAAAATGAGATAACAAATTTTCAAATTAAACAATTAAGCACAGAGTAGCAACACCCAACACTACCTCAATGTAAGACAAATTTTGTACAAATGTTGTTTGCAATAGCAAATGTTTTTAACCAAAAAAAGAAAAAAAAAATAATAGCAAATGTTTGAGAATTTTCTCAAAGGTCAAACCTATCCCCCAATGTAAAATCAACCCAACTATTAGATGGAGGTCTATCACAGTGACCAGAACTACTCAAATTTTACCTTGAGCTCATTGATAATTTGCTTTTGATCATCAATCATAATTTGACTAGTTTTCTTGTTCATGGTGATTTATTTGCATCTTCACCCTAGAGGGAGGCTTCTTCTTTGAAGAGGAAGTGAAGTGTAAGTAACATTTTTATACAAAAAAAACATTGTGAATCGGATTCAAATATTAGATAAGTAGGTTTGAAGTCAGCACCTCGATCATATAAAAAAAAGATTCTAAGGTTTTTAATTTTTATATAATGAGTGTTATGGGCTTAAAAATAATATCATGTTTGAAAAAAACTGATACGACTATGGTTGAACAAAACCCGGAGTACGTAGTTGAGGAAACCGTTGACGAGGAGCATCATAAAGACAAGGAGAAGCATGAACATGAGAAAGCACTAGTTGTCTGGGAAGGTCCTCTAACACAATCAAGGCACAAATTATCAGTGACCTTCTTATGGAGCTAAACAAGAAAGAAGAAGTCGTCGTTCAAGATTACTTCATGATGATCACGGTGCAAGAGGTTCGGTAAAGGATTAAGTATTACTTATGCACTCTTTTCTCCTTGTCAAGTTTTATCTCAATGTATTTTCTTGACAAGGTTTTTAATGAGGTTTAAGTAACACTTTCAGAGCCCTTTATCAAGCTCAATTTTTGGGTCCAACCCCCATCATTTTGCTTTGGTCCATTTTCTATTTTTAACTTCATTTTTGCATTTAATGTTTCTGTTATTTCCAAGACTCTTTGCATAAGATTGCATGACTGTGGGCTTGTGCATGCTCTTGTATGTTCTTCTTCTCTCCCCTCTTCTCCTTCATCCTCCTCTCCTATATAATCCCCTTGTAGCTCTCGTTTGTAACTCATCTATCTTTTTAATCAAAAAACTCTTTTAAGTTAGATTACTCTCTTGTTCAACTCTTTGGTGTGTAATATTCAACGACGAGTCTAAGTCCGGTAAATCAAAAGATTTTCCGCAGACCTTTGTGCGACAAATTGATCCACATCCTTTTATCTAAGTGATCTCCCGATCCCTTGGATGCAAAACCTATCTCTTTCTCAACTTCACGAGTAAGGAATCTTATCAAAAACATATTTATATTTTTTTGCATCCCAACGTAAACAAGAAATCTCAAAACTTTGACATTTTGGTATACATAAATGGTAATAAATGGATAGACAATAGTTACCAACGCAAATCAACCAAAGTGATAGAAATAGAAATATATGTTTCTTGGAAATGCTGTTCTGGCGGGTGTGTAGACCATCGTCCAAATTACGGTACATGAAGCTTGTGATGAAGTCATAAAGACAAACGTTAGTTGATCATCTCTGTTATATGAGAAAAATTATTAAATTTGGTTGGTTAAAATAGTTACAATGAAATTATTATTTTATGAATATTTTTTACCAAATTATTATCAAATTATTATAAATTTATATATGATGTAATAGTTTATTAAACTGAAAAACAATCAAGCTTCCTCTAAATTTATTATTTACCATATATTTCACCATACTAAAGTAAATAAATTCTCTTTAATTATTTATTATAAATTACTTTTAAATAAATTATTAAAATATGTTATAAAAGAATTATTAATAACTATTTTTAAAAAAATATTTGAAAAGGAAAAGGAAAATTTGATATGATTGTTTTACTTTAAATCTTAAGGAAAAACAAACCATAGCAATTTTCTTGAATAACAAAATTATAACTACTCCATTTTATGTTGAGTTTATATGATATTTGATTAAATTAGAAGCTAAAATTTGAAGAAATAAAGTTTTCTGTAACAATGATACACTTGTTTTTTGAAAGCAAACTACATATACCACCATATAACTTACAAACTAAATGGAGTCAACTTACAAACAAAATATGGTCAAATAAAATAATTTTAAATTGTTAATTAAAATATAAAAATTAATGAAAAGGACGTCAGAAATATAGGTAGCATTGCGAGGAAATAACTTTGTCTTATTAATAAGATATATCTAATTATTCAAATACAACAAAATAAAAGCAAAATATCACAAAATTTCTTAGATGATTAAGATCACGGCCATGGAAAACAGTAAGGAGTCCCTCCATCGCGTCTAACACGACATGGACCTGACTCAGTTACATACCAAATACATTCACTACAAACTCCAATTTTGCTTTTTGAATTATCGTCTCTATCAGCTCTAAAGATATCAAACGTCTTCGCATTTCCTGGCCACGTAAATGTGCAAGTGTACGTTGTTGTTCGACGAAGATTAACACGAAACTTGAAACCTACACTTTGTTGAGATTGGATCGCAGGAAATGTCAAATCTTCCCCTTTATTCTTACAATGCACGACCATTGCGTCATGTGAGTTCAATGTGTTGTATATCACAACATGTTTTTGTGAGAACAAGAGACTTCCATCGACTGGTGAAAAGTTTACAGACGCTAAACACGTTTCGGAGGTAACTAGAAATGTGATTAGCAAGAAAATGAAATGGTATTTTGTTGAGGAAGCCATGGATGTATTTTGCTGGTTTGTAATATGATTTTGATGGTATTTATAGTTTTTTTTGTTTGTGAAATATTATCTTCTTGAAACAGAAAATTATTATACTCTTTAATTAGTCATAATTAAAAGAATCTGAAATATGCCCAATTAAAAAAAAAGATTTGCAAATCTGTCGGTTACTTATAATAATGTGCGTTTTCAAGTAAAAAATATGTCTAATTACTAATTAGTTACTACTTACTAGCATAATCTCCCATTACTTTTTTCGAAATTAAGGTAAGATAGCTAAAATCAGCTGTTTTTATCTTATAGGATTCAGTCTATTATCTTTAATATGTTTTTTTTTAGCCATTTTCAGCTAAGTTCAATTAGTCATAAGTTTTTTTTTTCTTTTGGTACCATTTATATAAAACTAGATTAGGACCCGGTATACGCGGGTTTATAATTTCAATGTTTTTAATCCGAGTAAAGAAAAAAAGAATAGAAAATAATGTCAAATGATATGTGAAACTAAAATTAAATTATTTTGAATATTTATTTATTTATTGATTAATATTCAGTTAAAATTTCTCAGATATTTTCAAATTTTTATCTTTTCTTATTCCAATGTGAATGAAATTATATTGAGTGTGATAAAAAATAGTATCAAGTATCCCAAAAACTTATTAATCCATTATTCCTAAATTAAAAGATTTTGTAATCTACGTGTTAATTTATACATATCTTTTTGCTTACAAATTTAGTAATTTTACTGTAACCGTATGTTTATGTATATGTTAACAATTAATCAAACCGACCATATCTTTAATAATTATGAGTTAGGATATGAAATCCCAAATATATGCTTTCTTATAAGATTCAATTATAATAGAATAAAATAAAAAATTAGTAAATATATAAGTCAAAAATAGTTTGAAAACCAACTTTGTGGCAAAAATACATTATAGTTAATATTACATATGACTAATGTTTATATGAAGCATCCATAAAATTTACCTACAATTTTACAATTTTGTTAAGATGACTATCAACAGAAAACCATAATATTATACTATAACCAAAAATATATGAGCAAATATACCTATTATAACACATATAATATCTAACTAATTTAATTTTCTTAAATCTCATATCAAGTTTTATACTCTATGTAAATATTCACCGATCTGATAATTTCAAATTAAAAGATATATAAGTGAAGAATTAAGATTTTTATTAAGCCATTGCCAATTCATTTGCTTATACGAAAGTTAAAATTTTTAATAGATATTGAGAAATAAAATAATATATTTCATAATCGAAAGTAGCTCATGATAAAGCAATAAGAAAATCAAAATACTTTAACTAATATACATCTTAATTATTATATAGAAGGGTTTTAACTTTTAATAAAAAGCAAAAATTAAAAACTTACACTTGATATTATAACAAACAATTTTTATTTTTCATATGTATATATAACAATATATTTTTATAACAATATAAATATAACAATATAACAATATATGTATATTGTTATTATGTAAATATGTGATTGATTTTTTTTTTTTACGCCATTCCGTTCCAAGGAAAAAAAATGATACACTTTTAATAGAATTAATTAATTGAACATGTCACACACGGGCCAAACATCCATGCCTTACAAACCTATGTCTAGAAGCTCATGGGATACCTTTCGGTTCATACCAAATTGAAAAATCGAGGTTTAGATTGTGATCCATACAGTTACCTCTTTTTCCAGGAAGAACATTTTTTATTGATGATTCTTGGAAGAATGATGATAAGTTCTCAGGCCTATGTTGGCACTGCACCTCACTAGATGGCCCAACAACAATGGGGCTGCTAATCTCCGACAAAGTCTCCCACCACTCCACACGGAGATCGACAGTTTGATCTGGGCGATGGAGTATATAATTAATGCATCTACAGGCGAAGTTACTTTTGTCACGGACTGTTTGAATTCAAAAAGATTCAAGCAAGCAAGAGAGTATTTCTTCTATTTCTTTGGTTCATATCTCTCGTCAATCTAATGTTAAAACGGATTCTTTGGCTCGTAAAGTGCGTTCTAAATCGTAGTTACGTCTTTAGGTAAATGATAATCCTCATTTGTTTGAGCCTTAACCGAAATGTTGACAAAAAAGAACATGTCACTGTCGTCTCAAGATTTGATGACAAAAAAATAACATGTCACTATCGTCTCAAGGTTCAAACTTTAGATAAAAGTTAACAAACTTTCTTTTTAGTTTTTCCAGAGGAAAAAAATCTTTTACTCTTTTGTTGAGTAAATATTGATATATTTTAAAATCCCTAGAGAATTAGGTTAATAAATTAATATTCTTTTAAAACAATTTTTTTCTCTTATGTATATATTTCTTTTCTGTGATAGGTTTAATACTTTTATATTTTAATATAAAATATTTTAGTAAATTTAAAATTAACATGTGTCAACATTTTATCGATACAGATGACACCTCTTTAATCACTTTTTTAAATATGTAAAAATTATAAGAAAAAAAAATAATTGCAAATTGAAATCATGCCTTCACTTACGACATCACTAGCAATGTTGTTAGCTTTCAATCCATTGAACATTTTCCAAAATTAACCCAAACAGAATAAAATCGAAACCCTATTTCAATACACCAAAAAATTCCAAACTTTAGGTTCTAGTCCCCTAAATGTATATAATTCAAAACTACATAAGGAACCAAGTCTAAAATATCGAACCCTTATCCGATTTAGGCATGTCCGATGCTCCAGAAGAAGATTCGGAAGGATCAAAGATTTGACCAGCAAACAAAACAGTTCCAGTTTTGTCTTCTCTAATCAAAAAGATAAACGGATGATCCGCCACAAAATCTATCTTCTCAGGCTGCCAATACCTGCTGGTGGTAGTAACCACAACAAAAGCAGAAGCAGCCGCAGCTTCAGTACCTTCTTCATCAATCTCAACCAAAGCTTTATGGTATAATGACACATCATGCTCAAACTGACCAAAAACACTTGAAGCTTCAAACCCGGATTCGATCTTAAACTTTGGGATTCTAAAATCACCAACATCAACTCGGTATTTAGGGATATGACTCTCCAAGAATCCAGGAGTTGATGTCATTCTCTCCAAAAGATTATCTAATTCACCTTTCTTGTCAGGGAGATAAAGATACATTGAAAACTCGCGGTTGATATTATCATCACCGCCTTTTCGGTAAAGAAGCCTGAGGACCTTGAAGCCATCATAAGCCTTTATGAATTGGTCCTTCCAACCATTCATAAAAGGTACATAGACTTTTTTGCCATTGAGAAGGTGAAATGGTCTGTCTTGTGTCGACGTCTTATCAAATTCATTTTCCCAAGCTCCCTTAAAGTACAATGCGTTTCCATAAATCCAATTAGTTAGGTTTGTAATGGAATCAGGAGGAAGAAGGTCTTTGATGAGATCATTGGTGTGACGTGAAGCCCACGTATTTACCTCCTTACGTACTTCTTCAGCCTTCAAAACAACAAAAAACCATAATTACAAAACTACAATCTTAAAGAACCAAAGATCACATAACTCTTGACCTAATAATCTATCAATCAAATTTGAAACTAAAAAAAACCATAATCACAAAACTACCACCCTAAAGATTCAGTTATCACATAACTACAACCCTAAAGATCCAAAGATTACTTAACTCTTGACCTAATCTATCAAATTTGAAACTAAAAAAAAAAAAAGACCATAATCACAAAAGATCCAATTATCACATAACTCTTGACCTAATCTATCAAATTTGAAACTCCAAAAAACCAAATCACAAAACTACAACCCTAAAGATCCAAAGATCACATAACTCTTGACCTAATTTGACAAAAAAAATTCAAAAAAAAAGACCTAATTGGATCAATCAAATTCAAAACTTAAAAGACTTGTTAACTCAAAAACTAACCTTGTTTCGGAAATCAACTTTAGCAAAACTAGCCTTGAAGAAGTTCTGAAAGAGATCTTCCCGGTCGGGCTTACAAGAAAGTGATTTCTCCATCCAAACTCCATTAACCGCCGCGATTTTAGGCCCGCCTTTTTCACTACCATCTACTAAGACGACAGAAGCGATTTCGCGGTAGATGGCATTGAGCTCATCAATAGAAGAAGACCTAAGAAAGGAGAGGATGAAGGATATTAATCTTTCGTCGTCGTCGGTGGTGGCTGCGGACATGGTGAGAACGGCGTAAATAGATACCGGAGAGAAGACGAAGTTAGAGTTTTTGGCTAGGGCAGAGATTACTTTCCCCGCAAGGAATAAAGAAACGTCGTTTTGGTTCTTCATAGCTTCTTGTATATCAATCTTTTGCTTTTTCTTCGTGTTTGAGAGAGAGGGATCTGAAATCTCTGGTGTGCTAAGTTCTTCGTTCTTTCTTTTCGAATCCATATTTTGAAGTTTATTTTTTATGTGCGTATTCTCAAATACATGTGAATATATATAGAAGATGTAAGATGCTTAGTTACTCAAGATATATAATTAGGGTTATGCTTCATAGGAAAAAAAAAAAAAGGAAAAAAAAAAATACTAGGGATTGGTGCAACGTGGAATTAAGAAACAATATGCTATTAAACCGTCAAGGAGAACAAAAAGGTAAAAATACAAAAATTATGGATTTGGGTAAAATATCTATTAAATATTTATTTATATGATAAAACAAGAATAATGTTCACAGGTTTTATATGATAAGATTTGTAATTTAAGTATATTAATTATTTTTTAGCTTTGGTGACAAGTATATTAATTACTATTAAAAATGCTTATTTAATTCCAAATAAAATTTACCTGATCTTTTTTAATATACTTTTTTTGTTCTATAAAATTTGCTTTTTTATAATTAATAAGATATTAATAAAACCGTTATATACTGACTTGTGTAAAACTGACTTGTGTAAAACTAATCAACTGACTTGTGTAAAACTATATTTTTTTTTTTTGGTGGAAACTTGTGTAAAACTAATTACAGTATGCAAGATTCTCTTAAAACCTAATATATAAAATATAAAACATTTCTTAGAAATTTTATTTTTAATGGATGGCTTTTTCTGATCGAACTTGAGCATGAATTTCACGTTTACGATTCTTTGCAAATCCTGAATAACGATTCTTAATGACTATTCTCAAACTTGTATATTTGTTTTTTAATTTAATCAATAGCCTTGACCCTTGTTTCCATATCCTTTCACAGATGCACTTAATTAAGTGTTTTGCTGTTTCTTGGCTGTCCGTGACTACTATAGTACTATGCAAGATCATGGATTTTGCAAAAGTTATTTCAAACTTTGTGGTAATGAAACCGAAGGTTCGTAATGGCGCGATACAACAACACTAATCTACTGAATCAATTTGGCTCCCATTTGGTAAGTTATACGATGTTAGCCGGAAAGTATTTCAAACTCGAGATAAGCCATTCCAATAAAAATTTACTCTATAATAATTTGGTGCGTTTTGGTCAAAATTGGTTGAATTATACTACGCCATGGTTTATCATAAACAAAAAAAAAGAGGAAAATTTCTATATGATATTTGCAGGTAACTTTACTTCTCGTTGCGTTACAAATTATAAATTTGGAAAAAGTGAAGTGTTACGTTTTGGAATAATGTATTCTTAACATATTTCAAAGGTTTTGAAAACTTATAAAAATAATTAACAAATAGCTTAGTAGACAGACATTAGGGCATATCGGCCCATTAGTAGTGGACACTGAACCGTCGTTTCTTACACCGTCGTCCGCTATAACTTTATAAGATAATCCCCAGACGTCACGATCACGAAACTAAAACCCTCAGATTTCTCAATCGCGAAGCTTCTTAGTAAAGAAACAAGAAGAAGATGACGACTCGTATAACTCCAGGTGTAGGAGCTAATCTTCTTGGCCAACACGCTACTGAGAGGAACCAAGACGCCACCGTGTACGTCGGAAAACTAGATCCTCAGGTTCGTTAACCTAGTTCTTTCTTTTGTTTGAAGTTACCTAAAGAAAAAGTAATATTAGGGTTTATATAATGGTGAAAACTAACCTAATTTCTCTTTTTTTGAATTATAGAGTGTTACTGAAGAATTGATTTGGGAATTGTTCACACAAGCCGGACCAGTTGGTAAGTTATAATCATCAAATATTCTATCTCGTTTAGTTTCTTATTTTAGGGTTTGGTTCGAATAATATTTCTAATGACATCTCTTTGTAATTGTATCAGTTAATGTCTTTATTCTGAAAGATAAGGTGACAAATACTCAAAAAGATTTTGGTTTCGTACAATTCCGCAATGAAGAAGATGCTGACTATGTAAGTGTTGTTGATCTCTTCTCTTATGTGAATGAGTCTTAATTTTTGTTTTTTTAGGTTTCTTGGTTAACAAGTTTCGTTTTTGTTTCAGGCTATTAAGGTTCTTAACATGATTAAGCTCTACGGGGAACATATACGTGTCAAAAAGACAGTGCAAGAGAGTTTCGATGTTGGTGCTAACCTTTTCATTGGAAACCTTGATCCTGTAAGTATCATTGACTCTAGTAATAAAAAGCTTTGAAACTAGTAACTTGAAACACAACATCTGACTAGGTTTTGCTTTTTTGAAACAGGATGTGGATGAGAAGCTCTTGTATGATACTTTCAGCGCATTTGGTTTGGTTATTGATAGTCCTAAGGTAACAAAACAATATTTATTTCGTTACATATCATTCCATGTTTTGTTTGGGATTAGAATCTGACTTTTACAAGCTTGTTGATCTCAGATAATGCGCGATCCGGATACCGGGAACTCACGAGGTTTCGGTTTCATTAGCTATGACTCCTTTGAGGGATCTGATGCTGCTATTGAGGTAACTCTCTCCCTTCTTTATTGGCTTTATTGTTTAGAAGAGTTTAAAACACATTCTTATGATCTTTGTCTCACTGTTTCAGGCAATGACTGGACAATACTTGAGTAATCGTCAAGTAACAGTCTCTTACGCTTACAAGAAAGACTCTAAAGGAGAGCGTCACGGTACTCCAACAGGTTAGTAGACTAATCTTTATATACTCTTTTTAAGTTTTAACTTATGGATTTAGTTTCTCTCCTTCATTTGAATAACAATTCAATACTTTTGTGTATTTGTAGAGAGGCTTTTGGCTGCTGATTCCCAAAGAAGCAAACCTCATACACGATTCGCAACTATCCCTACAACGCAGAGTACTAATGCTCCGCGTCCGTTTGCTAATGGAAATATGCAACCTGTACCGATCCAGGCTCACCATCCACCACCATCAGTTCCACAAGCGTATCAAACTCAGCCAACATTTTGGTCTTCTCAGCAACAACAACAAAATGGCTTAGTGATTCCACCACCGGCCATGCAGTTCCGTCTCCCTCAAAGTGTGCTGCCGCCACCACCACCTCAGTTTCAATATCACCAACAAGGTTATGGTGGTCCGAGGGTGCCACCACCACCACCTCAACTCATGGGAATGTACCAGCATGACTGGCTACAGTAACACATGCAGCAAGGTGGACCAACACCAGAACAACAACTACCAATGAACCACCATCATCACATGTCTATGCCTCCACCACCACCACCACCACACCAAGGTTGATGATTAATCATCATTTGAGTATATATAGGACCAAATCAACAATTTTTAGATTAACTTATCTGCAATGCTTCAAAAGTCAAAACTGTTGAATCTGAAAATTGCAATTTATAACAATTAAAGCGACTAATGAAAGAGAGTTATTCATTTATCTCACAGAAAACATGTATGAAACGACATAGCAAATAAAGACCTGAGAGCAAAAACATTTACAAATAAGATGATACACATATTAGGTTGTGGGCTTCCAACTTAAAACCAATTGGCAGTGAGTGGAAAAACTCATATATCTTATATATTAGGATCTTACTCAACTTCCAATGTGTGATATTTATCTCTAATACGCCCCTTCGAGATGATGGCTCTTTTTGCCATAAATCTCGATATGTTAGGGTATGAATCGGTGGGCCAACTATTGGACCAGACCGATTGTGGATTGGGTTGAGTATGTGCGGACCGGCCTTTCATACCATATTAGATTGTAGGCTTCCAACTTAAAACCAATTGGCAAGAACATGAATCAGTGGGCCAACTATTGGATCAGACCTATTGTGGATTGGGTTGAGTATGTGCGGACCGGACTCTGATACCATATTAGATTGTGGGTTTCCAACTTAAAACCAATTGGCAATGAGTGGAGAAGCCCATATATCTTATATACTAGTCAGGATCCTACTCAACTTCCAATGTGAGATATTTATCCCTAATAACATATATATGATCAAAGAACATATAAAGGAAAGTTTTCAAAGTGTCTAAGATTTTGGTATAAACATAATATATCAAAACACTGAACAAGACACACGATTCAACAATATCTAAGATCTCGACTGATTGAGAAGTCTTCATCTTTATTCACTTCTGAAACCCTAAAATTAGCACAAAAACTTATATGTTGGTTCCCTATCACCGAGATGACAAACCCAAAGCTGTAACTGTCGCACCTAACAATACTGAGCACATTGGCTTCTAAGACCATCCCAAGAACACGAGACGAGAATAGCACAGAACTTGTCTTGTGGATGAGGAAGCCACAGCCTTTTGGACTTATCGTTCTCAGAGAGAGTGAGATGAGTCTATCATGTATGGTTGCCTTAAGAACATTTATATAGGCAGTTCTAAAGGGAAAACGGGAAAAATCAACCCAAACAATTTCCCGAAGGTATTTTCATACCCAAACTCGCGTACTCTGCATTTTACAACCCAAACCAGCTTTTAATTCAAATAACCAACCTGAACTATATCAAATTTTGTCAATTTCAACCTTCGGGAAATAGTTTGGGTTGATTTTCCCCGTTTTCCCGCAGTTCTAAATGAGTAACGCTTCTCAAACGAGTTATGTTTTATGAATTTCAGTTCACATTTGTCGTTTTTTTTAAAGAGTAACGTTTCTGAAACGAGAAACATTTATGATATTCAATTCACATTTTTCATTTACCTACTAATTTAAATATTATATAATTAAAATACTTATATTATTTAAAGGACAAATTGGAAATTAAAGAATAAGAATGACATATGCTTTTATATAATTAACCCTATTATATCCCTAATTTTTTGAAATCTTTTTTTTTTGTCGACTTTTTTAAAATAACTATTTCCTAAATTGATTTAATTTTTCTATTTTTAAAATTTTGTTTTTTTTTGCTAAGAATTTTTAATATTTTGTTGGGATAAACATATAAGGCAAAATAATTTTTTTTTTAGTTATATAACTTGCCGCCGTCGTTTTTCTTCACCAAAACAGTACTTGCATAATTGTTTCCTAGCTCCTCCCAAATAAACTCAGAAAACAAAACTAGTTTTCTTCTTTATTTAATTTCAATTTGTTTATGTACCACACATCTCCTTAAGAAGAATTCAGATTTGGTAGAAGAAAACGAGTCTGCAAAAATGGATTCAGTTTTTGGATTGAAGGTAACATTTTAAGTTTTAAAAAGATAAAAATTCAAGTTTCCATGTATTATTATGGAATTATAAGGTGCCTTGGTACTACTCTTATTTCACTATTTTTAGATTTTATTTCCTTTTATTAAAGAAATTCTAAATGATGTAGAACGTGTTTTCTATTTTTAATAGAATATAGGAAAAACGTAAGAATATGCATTCAAATAAATTTAGATCATGAGTAAATGCTAGAACATGTATTCTAAATTTTGTAAAAAAAGAAGAAACTATAGAATACTAGTTGTTGACCCGCGCTGCGCGCGGGAGGTTTATAAAATTTTTATTTTATTTTTAGTTATATTATAATTTTTCGTTGTTTTTTGTTTTGTTTTGCATTGTTTGTTTTGTTGGCTTTTTACTGTTATTATTTTTTGTTATTCTATTTTTCTTATCGATTATTTTTTCAATTTTATAGTAATTTAGTATTTGAAATGTTTATCATCATTTGGTATTCGTCAGAGGTTGATGGAAAGTTTATGCGGTATTCTCTCTTTTTACTAAGTATGTGATTAGAGAGATAAAGTTTCCGGTGTCTGGGTTTGATATATTCTAGGATCTGGCTTATTTCCCGTTTTTTCCTACGTTCGAACCCGTGTATTCCGGCTAATGATTTTGAAATCGGTATCGCTGTTGCAGATGTGTCGCTCTTGTAAAACATGGTTCTAGAAAATGTTTTCCTTGTTCCGTTTAATCATCCAGTTCCAAACTCATGTATCCCATATTTTTCTGATTTTTATAACCAGTTTGATTGTTATGTGTTGGACCTCAGGCCCATGCTTTTTTAGATTTGGTACTTTGATTGTTGTGGAAGTGTTGGACCTCAAGCCCATATTTTCTTGGATTTAGTAAAAAGAAAAATGATGATGTGGTGGATGATGTGGCGCTGACGTGGCGGAAGGAGAAGAGAGAAAAAGTTAACTTTATATATATAGATGTATTCTAAATTTCATAGAAATTAGTATTCTAAATTTCGTAGAACATAAATGACTTCTAAATTTTGAAGAACATGTAGAGTGTGTAGAATACATAAATCTATATTTTATAGAACATGTACAGTCTATAAAATACACATTATAAAGTTCAGAATTTGTATTCTAAACTTTGTATATCAAATTTTATCCATCCATAATGACAACAAAAACAACATATTTTAATTTTTGTGTATCCTCATGCATGCCTTGATTATCATTTTTCTGCTAATTGTTGTTAAAATGATTTTGAAAAAATTTATTAAATCTATTAAAAAGGGTAGTTTAGAAAAATTTGGCATTTATGCATAGAATGCGTATATGGACTAATTTTTAAAAATTTATCCTTTAATTCCAATTTTCCCTTATTTAAATATTAATTTTTGGTTTTAAAGAAACTTTGAAGAATTTCTACGAATGGCAGTGCTCAACAAAATTAAAGTTACGTTCTAAATAGCCATGCGAATTCGGTTTGGTTATTCCATATATTCACTTTGGTTAATTTGGTTCTTCGGTTAATTTTAATTTGAAAATCTTGCCAAAAATAACCGGAAACTAAAACTATTCAGTTCAGTCATACACAAATTTGGTTATTTTGATTTTTGCCAAAATTAAACCAAAATTCTTTAGAATATCGAATAATATTATGTTTTACTAAAATTAAACAAAGTTTTTAATTCCAATTGAAGAAATACATGTATTAAATATCCAAAAAAATAATAGATTGCGAACCTCATTTATAATCTTTACACCATCAAGTAATTTTGTCACCAAAATGATTACCAAATCTGAGGAAGGAACATGAAACAAAGCGAGATTTGATAACAAACCAAGATCTTTATACAAATGATCAGTCATTGAGATCAATTCCAGCGATAGTGCGAATCTTTCGGTTATCGAGCGTAAAAAAAAACAGAAAAAATCAGTGTGCTTACAAACCTTGGATTCGATCAAATTCGAAATAAAATTGTTCAGATAATAGAGAATTGTATGTTTCCGATCTTGTAGAGCTATAATATGTATTTTTTAGATTCGGAATCTCAGAGATTAGAAAATGATCGAAGAAGATCTATTTGATACCGGCACTTGACACTAAAATATGAGTAGTCCAGGGATGGGTAACTTTTCGGGAAGTGATTTGTAGGGTCAGGACGTTATATTACTATAGCTTCATTGATATGTGTGCCTCTTTGCCATTCTTGGAGAGGAAAACATAGGATATTCCCACAGTTTCCAACCAAAACACATGGTCATATATTTTCTGTCCATTTCCCAATATTTAAACATTGGATAGTAAATAAGAAGTGGGAAAGAAGTCAAAAATAACAATAATAAATTTCTGATCAAGACGAATTCGTCGATATTCGACAAAAATTATCGTAAGAACAAAGCTTTAACATTATGAAATTCTTTAAAAATATTGAATGAATTTTTGAAAACTAGTCCGGACTAAACTGGTCGAAAACTACTTCAAATTCAATTTACTATTTTCATTTTTCTTAATTGATTGTGTATGTGTTTTGTTATGTGAGACCCTGGTTTGCAGAGAGGTTTAAATGAATTGATTTGGCCACATATGTTACAAATGACACTTATCTTTTCGGTCAAAGGTCTTGAGAGAACTCCAGAGTTAAAATTGCTTATACTAGAGTAGTCCAAGAATGGGTGACCTTCCGGGAAGTGGATATTGGAACTGTGTGAGTGAAGCCAAAACACAAGAAAATATCATGTGGTGATTTGTAGGATCGGTAAACAATACTTTAAAGCCTCCCGGACGTAGCAAACAACCGTCATATATAGATGGGTTCACGGTCTCAGTGAGAGGACGTAAAGCCTATTAAAAGAGGTGGGCCCATAGGCTGAGAGTGAACATGATGGAGCCCACTGGAAGAGATGACGGTTGGGGCGTTACAGTTATTTAGTGGACCAAATAAAACGACAATATCTATAAAGTAGATTTTTCTCTTTTCTCCTGATACAAGACTC